ATGGTTCCTTGGTGTCTCTTTTGAAAAGATTTATTTTGCTGGAATGGGGGATCATTTGAAGGATGATATAGCAACCCAGTGCAATAGAACCTTCCCGAAATATATTAAAGCAATCCTCAAGAGTTCCTCCACTAATGGGGAATATGGAGTCTCAACTGGCAATCTCTTGTCACCAAACAAGTCTTCCAGTGGTGGGACCAGGTTGCTTTCAGTTGAGATCTTGGCCAAGGGTGTCACATGGAAATACCCAAAGGACCCAGGCTGTTGCTAAGACAAAGGGTTACCGTCTAGAAACTGACAGTGGATTCTCATTGCTAGGACAACACCCACAGAACTCATTGAACATGAAGTTGAGCTGGTGCCTACCCAGAGACTTCACCCCTACATCCTAGGCTCTGGTACAGGAAGGTACTCTACAGGCTACCAAATGCCATGTAAACACCAACCAGCTCACAAAGCCTTTACCTACAGTCTGTCCTGAGTGCAAAAGATGCTGGGACAATGGTGGCACAGAACTTGTGGCAGTAGCCAGCCAGTGTCTGATTTGATTTAAGGCCCACTCCACCGGAAGGAACCTATGCCTGACACTGCCCAGGTGACCGAAAACCAGAGACTGGATAGCCCTGAAATCTAGGGTAAAAACCAAACACTATTGGTCTGAAAAGAAAAAGGGAAAACACAAAAACAAGCAAAGAAAGGTTCATTTTATTTCAAGTTCTGTATTTGTGGGTCTGACTGAATGTATGCACATTTTTTTTTTTTTTTTTTTGGTTTTTTGAGACAGGGTTTCTCTGTGTAGTTTTGGTGCCTGTCCTGGATCTTGATCTCACAGAGACCAGGCTGGCCTTGAACTCACAGAGATCTACCTGGCTCTGCCTCCGGAATGCTGGGATTAAAGGAGTGTCCCACCACCGCCCAGCTGAAAAGGATGGGTGGGGTGGTCAGAGTTGCTGGTTTCCCTGAAGCTGGAATTAAGGCAGCAGTAAGCTACTTCACGTGGGTGCCAGGAACTGAACTAGAATCTTCTGTAAGAGCAGTAAGCTCTCTTAAACACTGAGCCCTTTTAAACACTGAGCCCTTTCTCCGGCCTAAGTAGTATGTCAATTTATTCATTCATTTATTTATTTTGTTTCAATATTATTTTAAGTATGTTAGTGTTTGACTTGGATATATGTCTGTGCACCACTTGATTGTCTGGTACCCAGAGATGGTGGAAGAGGGTGTCATTGGAGTTAGAGACAGTTGTGATTCACCTTGTGGGTGCTGAGAAAAGAACCAAGGTCCTGTGGAAGAGCAACCAGTTCTAAATCCATGAACAATCTGTATAGCCCCTAGTATAGACATTTGAACAATATTCAAATCCATGACTACAGGTATCCTTATATATAATTGTATCATCTTCGATTTCTTTCAGTACTTACAATGTTTTTGTGTGCAGGTATTTCATCTTGCAGTAATTACTTTCCCTAATCATTCATTCATTCTTGGTATTCATGGTTTTATGAATATAATTCTTTGTCTTTCTCTTATTTAAATTTATTTATTTTCATTTTATGTCTATGGGTGTTTTGCCTGTGTGTATATCTCTGCTGCATGTGAATGCAGTGTGTGTTGATGTATTGTGTCCCTCAATATACTGTGACTCCCAATAAAATAAAGCTTGCCTGGAGATCAGAGGAAAAAGGCCAGCCATTATAAGTAAACAATAGAAGTCAGGCAATGTTAGCACAGGCCCTTAAGCCTATCCCCTGGCAGGCAGGGATCTGTCTGGATCTGTGAGTTTAAGGCCACACTAGGGAACAGAGCCTTTAATCCCAATACCAACTGTAGAGTTCTGGTGGTCTATACAGACAGACAGGAGTTGACAGAGCTGGGCAGGTAAAAGTGATGTAGATGCTCTGAGAGAGTCAATGAGACAAGAGAACACAAAAGGTAAATAAACGTGAATATACAAGGAGTCACTCTCTTTGGAAGCTGCAGATTGGTGAGGTTAGGTTAGCTCGTGTTTTGTCCTGTTTCCTCTGGTCTTTTTCTTGGCCATTAACCAAAATATCTGTTTCCATGTTTTTTATTTAATAAGACCATTTAGAAATTCCTCTACAGCAGTGACCTCAGAGGCAAGAAGAAGGTGTCAACTCTGCTGGAACTGGAGTTATGGGTGGCATTGAGCAGCCATGTGAGGTCTGGGAATGGAGCCCAGGCTCTCTGGGACAACAGGTGGTACTCAGACACTTAGCCATCCCTCCAGCCTTTTCACTGTGTTTCAGATGTGACACTGTTTTGCTATAGAGCCTTGACCTTGCCAGCCTCTGACATCAGGCTCTCAAGAAACCAGGTTTAGAGGCCATGACCAACAGGCCCAGCTTCTTAATTTCCTCTTGGATCCCTCACTATCTCTGACTTTTCTATACTGGCTATCACATCTTGAATCTTTTCCTGTGATTACTGCCTTTACTTTCATCTATAAAACAAATCTGACTGGGTGGTGGTGGCACAGGCCTTTAATCCAAACACTCAGAAGGCAGAGAGAGGTAAATCTCTTATGAGTTCAAGGCCAGCCTAGTCTGCAAAGTATGTCTGGATTACACAAAGGAACCATCCTGAAAAGCGCCCCTCCCCCCAAAAAAATCTAATGTGCACATCCTTTATTTACAGTTTTCTTGTATTGCTGGCACTTCCCCTGTCCCTGCTGTGTTCGATAGATGTGACAACAATAAACATCCTTGTTTTATGCATGACTTTAAAGAAAAGGATTTCCATTGCTCTAAATTTGTTATGAGATTAGCCATGGGATTTTCTTGTATGGCTTTAAAATAAGGAAATTTGAGCCGGGCAGTGGTTGCGCATGCCTTTAATCCCAGTACTGGGAGGTGTAGGCAGGCGGATCTCTGTGAGTTCCAGACCAGCCTGGGCTACAGAATGAGTTCAAGGACAGGCTCCAAAGCTACACAGAGAAACCCTGGCTCAAAAAAACAAAAACAAAAAAAGAGGAAATTTATGTCTATGCCTAAACATTTGTGGTGTTTTTATCCTGAAACAGTGGTGTGTATTATCTTCCCCGCCCATACCAATCCACCCCACACCTCCATGCCCCCCACCCCCACCTCATCACCACCTCCACCCCCCACCCTACCCCAGGACGAGGGCCATACCTAGGGCCTTGTGCTTGCTAGGCAAACACTCTACCACTGAGCTAATTCCCCAGTGTGTATTGTCAAATATTTTCATGCAAAGAATGGGAAGAGTTTCTTATCTTTCATTTGCTGATGAGGTGTGGGCTATCCATTGGTTTTGTCTGTGAATTAATAGTACAGGTTATGGGGGAAATTAGTTTACACTGAAGTATAATGTTTGATGTGGTTTTGAACTGAATAGCTTGCTGACATTCATACATGGAGTCTCCTGTTGTAGAAATTTATTTCAGGGTGTGTTACTTTTGTTCATGCTCTGGAAAGTGTGTTTAATGATGAGAGACGTGTTTGATTAAATACAATTCACCTGCAGGCAGGAGGCTGTGTCAGCAACTAGCTGACAGGAAGTGGTAGGGATGAATCATGTGTAGGGAGCTTTCTTTCTGTGGGCGGAGCAGAAGGATGGGCTGCTTTTGGGATCCCCCAGCAAGGAAAGGGGGTTAGTTATTTGCTATTCAACCTCTGAGCAAGAAGAATTTCACCTCAACCTTTGAATTCTGAGGTCAGTAGAAAGGTAGAGATCTGGGTAAAATTTCCCTTGCGGGCCTGGGCGAACCGGAGCCTGAGGGACCAGAATTCCTGCAGGCTGGGGCCCTTGGGGCCGAACTGCTGCTGGAGCTACAGAATTGTAGTTTCTGATTAGGACAGCAGTTGCTTAAAAGGCAGCCACTGTATTTGATGTAAAGCAACACAAGATACATTCTCAACATTTACAGACAATAGATTCCTCAGAAACAGCAGTCGTTGGTGGCATAATTTCACACAGCCAATGTTCTGGTTATCACTTCTGTCCTGGCTCTCACCTCTTTTTTCTTTGGTGAACACAATGGGCTAGAGCAGGGACCTCCAAAACAAAACTGCAAGGGATGGTATTCATCCCCTTTCAGTGTACTGAAGACAAATGAGCCTGGTAAGTGGCCATCTCTGTACGCCTAGTGCAGGACTTCATTACCCATGTGCACTAAAACATAAGTCGTCCGTTACTAAATGAGATATGAGAAATCCTTGCCTATGTGTATCATGAGATGGGACTGTGTGCACTCCAGGTCAGCACCAGGCTTTCTGGTAAGAGACTTGTAAGGAGAGGATCAGAGAGTCACACTGACTACTGCTGATAAAGGAGCACATGAGTAGTTTGATGCTTTTAACATGAAGATGGGATTTTGTCTTTGGAAGAAAGGGATGGATAGAAAGTTGTGGTATTTGCTCCACCCATGACCTTGGGCTATAGGCCCAAAGGAGGCGGTGCTTCTTGCCCTTGGACCTGACCTCTTAAAAGAAAAAGGAGAAGGATCAGGAGCCTCTGTTCCTTGCTGCCTGCTTCCTGGTCAGATCTGACTGCCTGGTGGATTCGCTCCTGGTCAGAACAGAAGACGACTTAAGCTGTGTACTCGGTTCAGTATTCGTGAGTGTGTGTCCTCAATTTATATCTTAATAAGTCTCTATTACCCATTAAATAGACTGACGTGAGTTGATCTTAATAGAAGGTAGGTTACACAAGGCTGTTGGAAGGTAACTCTGCTCTTCAGTAAAAGGAAGTAACAATCCTATGTCTGAATCCTATGTCACTTGGGATGAAATTAGAGTAGAAGCCTTGAAAGTATGACAAAATGCTCCTTTAGCCTTGTCTCTAAACTTCTGTCCCTATTTCTTTCCTGTGTTCTTTTCCCTTATCATGGAGGTCACTGTTGATGTCTGCACAGCGTCCATGCTGATTTTCCCTTTCTTATTTGTCCCCCATTTCCTCATTCCAATCACACAGGTACCTGAGCAGAAGTGTTAGGAGTCAGGACAGACAGACAGAGGATCACAGCAACAATGGCCTCATCAGTCCTGGGGATGGTCATGGAGGAGGTGACCTGTCCCATCTGCCTGTATCTCCTGAAGGAACCTGTGACTGCGGATTGTGGTCACAGCTTTTGCCGACGCTGCATCACATGGAACTTTTTATCCAGCAAACGCAAAAAAGCGAAGTGCATCTGCCCTTTGTGCGAAGTCCGTTACCAGTTTAGGCATCTGAGGCCTAATCAACATATGGCCCACATAGTGGAGAGGCTCAATGGGCTCAATTCCAGCCCAGAGGAGGAGCAGGGGTTTTACTGTGAAAGGCACGGAGAGAAACTCCAGCTCTTCTGTGAGAAGGACATGGTGGCCATCTGCTGGCTTTGTGAGAGCCCTCAGGCCCACCATGATCACCTAACAGCTCCCATTGAACAGGTGGCCTATAAGTTCAAGGTAAGAAGTGGAAGGGTGTGGGTCACAGAGCAGGAAACAGTAACAGACAGGAAATCTCCACTTGGGGTGACAGGTCAATAACCTGGACATCATAGACTCGAGGTTTGATATACCGTTCCATCCTTTCCTACCTTTAGAGTACTAAAAACACATGATAATTTATTCCACTTACTCGTATGAGAATCAGCCTGGACTACAAATACTAGGGCAGAAAAAAATGTCTTAGAACTGTCCCTGTGAAGTTGAGTCAATGTCCAAGAAAAGCTAAAAGCAGAACTGCTAATTTATTCCATATTTATCTTCTTTCAATGTTTATGTCAGATTCATTCCTCTACCTAAAATCCAGTCTAGTGACATCAACAATGGAGTTAGTAAATGAGTGACAGACAGCAGCAAAGAGAATGTGCATGTGGCAGTTGAAACAGCTGGAAAGAGGGGAAAGAACTCCATAATGAGATACACAGAGGCAAGCTCTGTGTTGGGTCTTTGTTTTCTGTTGTTTGTTTTGAGCCCACATACAAACTCACATAGACTGTTGCAGCATGCACAGGGCCTGCAGGGGTCTGCACCAGGTGGGATCCTAGAGCTTGAAGAAGTGGACACATGCCCCCCTGCAACCCAAAAGCAATCTCCAATTGATAGCTCCTTAAAAATGAAAAATCTCCAAGGTGTGGTAGACTGGGAGACCACCCCTCACCTATCAAAGGCTTCTTGAGTGGAGGAGAGAGGAATGAGGAAATACTGGATAGAAATACAAGTGGAAACAAAGAGACAGACAAAGGATAACTTCAGGAGGACCCTGGATCCTTATCCAGCCACCTAGATTTAATCATAATTGGCTTTTTATGCATCAGGAAGAGGTGGAGCAAAAGTCCTCCCCCTGTGAAGGTGTATAAGGTATCAGCAAGTGTAGACCCTTCAAAACACCTGATTACCCACACGTTTGCCTAAACATGCTCATTATGCAGCCCTGCTGGGTAAGGCATGCTCAGATTCTCTGACCTTAAGTAAGGTCTTACTAGGAAGTGTCTGTGGGCTTCCACACTAACAGAGTCTCAGTGGGGAAATATACCATTCTTAAGGTTAGGTCCCATGCCTAGCAGTAGATGGATGACCACTCAAATGCACTGGACCTACATTTGGAGATTTTTTTCCTCATAATGTTAAGTCTGGACTGTAGTGATATGTAAAGGAAAGCCTTTGTGTCTGGCTTTAAATGAAATTAATAGTGTCTGGCTTTGAGTGAAATGTTTCAACAAAGCCTTTGCTATATTGAAACTGAGTAGGGGTTAATCAGTAGAGGCTGAGAAATTGTTTTGAGACTGTTCAAATCTTGAAGAAATATGTCTCTGGTGAATCTGCAATTGGTGCTACATGAGAGCTTGCAGCTGCACCTGCCTTGGTCCTAAGACACTCCTAGCAGACCTGGAGTTCTTACTTTTGATTATGGTTTGCCATACTCTAAAGGGAGTGAGATTTGTGTGGGTTGTCTGCTTTCATGGACAGCAAAAGCAGGATAGCTTTGTTAATGGGAACCTTCCCAGCCCCTATTAACCTTGGACATGTTTGTTTTTTTTTAAGATTTATTTATTATGTATATGGTGTTCTGCCTGTTCTGCATGTGTCCTTGCAGGCCAGAAGAAAAGTTAGCTTTTCATATAAATATATACATCTATCAGTCTTAGGTGCCTCAGTGGAAAAAGAAGCTTACCAATCCGCTAAATGTTCATTTTCCAAGGAAGCAGAGGAGTTCAGCCCCCCTTGAAAGTACTGACACCAAGCTAGCCAGAAGAGGGCACCAGATCTCATTGCAGGTGGTTGTTAGCCACGATGTGGTTGCTGGGAATTGAACTCAGGACCTCTGGAAGAGCAGCCAGTGCTCTTAAACACAGAGCCATCTCTCCAGCCCTGTTTTGGTTTTTTGAAACAGGGTTTCCATGTGTAGCTTTGGAGCCTTTCCTGGAATTCACTCTGTAGCCCAGGCTGGCCTCGAACTCACAGAGATCCCCCTGCCTCTGCCTCCCTCCCGAGTACTGGGATTAAGAGCATGTGCCACCACTGCCCAGCCTTGCACATGTTTGAATAAACTATAGTGAGCTAGGTTGGTGTCAGTACTTTCAAGGGTGGCTGAACTCCTCTGCATCTTTGAAAAATGAACATTTAGTGTATTGGTGAGCTTCTCTTTCTACTGAGGCACCTAGGACTGATAGATGTATATATTTATATGAAAAGCTAACACAATTATTCCAGTTTCCTGATGCCAGAATCAAAGTAACAGGTTCGTACTTGGTGGGATAATTGGCTAAGAGAGATTTCTGTGTCTCTATCTGTATGGGGGTTGTGTATATGTCAATAGGAGAATGAACTGAGCTGGAGACTGAAGATTTACATACTTTATGTACATAAATCATGACACCAGTTTTTGGGTATTTTTAAAAGATTTATTTATTTATTATGTATAGTGTTCTGTCTGTACATATCCCTGCAGGTCAGAAGAGGGTACTAGATCTCATTACAGATGGTTGTGAGCCACCATGTGGTTGCTGGGAATTAAACTCAGGACCTTTGGAAGAATAAGCAGTGTGCTCTTAACCTCTGAGCCATCTCTCCAGCCCAACACCAGTTTTTAAAAAGAGAAGAATCTTAGGCTTCCTGTCTTTCCAAAAGTGTTTCTTGGCCTTTGGTTAGGGACAGCAGTCCTACTAAGGACACAGCTTGACTCTGCTACAATTCCTCTCCCACAGGGGAAGCTCCAGGCAGCTCTGCAGGAACAGAGGGCAAATCAGAAAAGATGTTATGAGTGGAAAGATGACCTTCAACAGGAGAGAACTTTCTGGAAGGCAAGTGAGGACCCAAATTCCTAAGGGAGTTAGGCTGATGCCTGGGAGGGACCTGGGCAAGAAGGTCCCTGGCTCTTCATTCCCAGGTAGTTGAGGACAAGAGGCCTTGATTAGTCCTCTCTACCTGTTCCCTGGAGCTGGGGCTGCACACTGAGTGCATCACAACTGAGCCTGTCTATGTGGGGAGCTGACACCATGGAGGGGGTCTGGTGAGAGTGGGCACTGAGTCCTGGATCTCACTCCTATGGTGCTTTCTGTAGCTGTGACTGTTGGGGAAGATGCTTGGGAACAGGCACAGTTCTTCTGTTCTTGGGGTTTAGCTTCTCTCATGGGTTCAGAGGTAGAATGAGGAGATTTACAGGCAGAAAAAGAGTCTGGGGCAGCTGTGTAAAAACTGGGACACACCAAGGCATCCCACTATGGCTCAGATGGCCTTGGTAAAGGTGACCTAAGATCTTTGTTTTGGAATGTCATCAACAGACACTGAGAGGAGACACATGCTTCCTTAAGACTCCCTTCCCTTCCCAAGCTCATTTCCCTGTGAGAACTCCCCATCAGAACAGTGTTTTTCTGTCTTCCAGTCCCATTAGGATAGTCTGAATTCCTCTCCCTCTTCTTATCCCTGAAGAACCAAATACAGGGTGATGTAGAAAAAGTTCAGGTGGAGTTTAAAGGACTTCGGGAATTCCTGGACTCCAAGGAGAAGAATGAGGTGCAGAAGCTGAAGCAGGAGGAGGAAGACATTATGAACAGCCTGGCACAGTCTCAAAGGAAGCTGGTGAAGCAGAGAGAGGCAGTGAGAGACCTCATCTTAGATGTGGAGTATCACTTGCAGTGCTCAACCATGGAAATGCTGCAGGTAAGACTGCAGGAGGTCCCAGCATCTGACAGTCAGGACCTGGAAGCCATTTCCCTCCCTCTGAGCTGCTGTGACCTTCCTGGTGGGGACAGTAGGGCTCTCTGAGCCCTCCCTCAGCTCTTTCCTGAACCAGATTTAGAGGCTGGGGAATCATGGCATGCATGGATGGCAAGGGGAAATGGCATTTTTTAGTTTATCAAATGAAGTACAGAAGCTGAACCTTGGAGAGAAGGTCTGTTGCATCATGGGTAGTTTTACCCTGCTGTAATGCTGAGCATGTGTGAAGCAATTTTCAACTGTCATTAGTCACTTTACTTGAATTTGAAATTAGTAGAAATTGTTCCTGCTGTCCAGTGTTTGGAGATTTTCATCTTCACTGCCTCTGATTCCACTGGTGTGGTCAGTGGGAGGGAAGTTACCATCCACAATCTCAAAGTTTTCTTTGCCTCTGTCTTCGAGTTGCTGAGATGAAAGGTATCTTCTTTCATCCTTACAGGCATAAAATTTGTATTGTATTTTATCTCTATCACATTTTTAAATAATTTAAACCAAAGTCTTATTTGATGAATATTTCAAAATTTTTTTTTTTTTTCTGGAGCTGAGGACCAAATCCAGGACCTTACGCTTGCTAGGCAAGCACTCTCCACATGAGCTAAATCCCCAACCCTGGTGATGAATATCTCTATAGGAATTTGTTTCTTTCATCTTAATTTTCAATGTTATAGACCTTGGTAGTCCTAGGAACTTTTCATTCTCCTTTGATTTATTGTTTTCCGTTGTGTTGATTTAATTATTATTGAGAACACTCATTTATCACCTGTATTAGACAGAATCATACATATATGGCTAAACTAAGTTACTTCCCATAGATACTAATTACAACCAACATTCTCTACAAGTCTGAAATTGTATCTCTTGACCAAAGAATCTGCTCACCTTTCTCTGCCTCCAGCCCCTGATGACCCAAATTCTAATGTTTACTTTTGGGAGATCAATTTGTGTACATGACACATTTATATAACAACACTAAATGATATTATATAAAATATCATTTTTTTTCCTGTGCCCAGCTGGTTTAGTATAACATAAATTCTCTGAGTTCAGCCAAGTTACCACAAATGGCAATGCTTCTTGCTTTGAATGTCTAATATTTTAACACACATGCCTATCATGTCATTTTTATCCATTCATCTGTTGATTAGTTCTCTGAATGACATTATCATAGTAAATAAAATAATGACTCAGTAGACATGAGCATGAAGATGTCTCTATGTTTGAACATCAGAACTCACGTATAATTAGAATTAGTTCTTTCCCGGAATTCTTTTTGCCATGGTATCTAATTTTGTTGATTTATGTTATATAAAATAAAGCCATGTGTAGCCAAGTGTGTACTTCCTGTGATCCCAGGACTTGAGAGCTTCTCATACACAGAAACAAAAACATGAGAAGCACAGAACAATGAGAATGAAATACAACAATGAAAATGAAATACAATTAAAGGCTCACTCCTTTAATCCCAGCAGTTAGAATGCAGAAGGAAATGAAGCTCCATAGGTTCAAGGCCTGCCTGATCTATATAGTGAGTTCCAGGCCAGCAGGGTTACATAATGAAGCCCAGAACTGGCAAAGGTGGAAAGAGTATGAGACCACAGACTGTCCAGCTTTAAATGAATGTATATACTGTACCTCTAATTTAAAGGCCTAGGGATCATTGCAGAAGGAGGACAGAAAGAGTGTAAGAGTCAGAGCTGGTGGATGAGTACAAGGAAAACAGTGTCTTCTGGACACAGTTTAGCAGCAGCACATTGAACTGCAATTGGCTGTGACATGGAACCCAAGTCCAGTGCAAGCCTAACTTTTTGTTTGTTTGTTTTTGGTTTTGTTTTGGTTTTTCCGAGACAGGGTTTCTCTGTGGTGTTTTGGTGCCTGTCCTGGATCTTGCTTTGTAGACCAGGCTGGCCTCGAAGTCACACAGATGCACCTGGCTCTGCCTCCTGAATGCTGGGATTAAAGGCATGCGCCACCACTGCCTGGCTGGAAAATGAACTTTCATAGGAAGTCCAACCACACCCAAGGAGCTCCTGGTATTGTTAGCTGTTAGGAGAAAGGGGGTCACATTTCTCAAAGAATGTAACTTTAGTTAAATCTACCAATACCAAAGGAATCTGTATGTTAGAGAGTACTTGCATAGTGTTAGGTCTCAAACCCAGGACATTTGGCTAACGGAGGTGCCTATTTAACTTATCAAAGTGGTCTTGGTGGGTCAGGTCTTGATATCTGTCCCACCTAAAAGAGCCAAATTAATATTGGAAAGCAGAAAAAGGATATTTATTAATATGGCCACATTTGGAAAATGGACAAAGATATTAAAAAGAAACTCTAAGTCCATCTTCAGTTTCCTAAGTGAGATCAAAGTTTAAATAGAGAGCCAAGGATTTGCATATATGAGTAGTCCAAGTCAAGGTATGGGCCTGTCTGTCATTCTCCCATCATTATCTGGGTTACAGTCTCATGCTTATGGATGAGCTGGGAAGTAATTAAAACTGCTTGAAATCTTTTTAGCAGCCAGTTCTCCCTCTGGTTAGAGCTGATTTCTTTTTCCCACTGAGATTCCTGGAGAAATCACCTTTTTTGGAAGGTGGGGAGGTTATCTTTGTTACAATGGTTTGTCAACTTGAAGACATACATGTCTCTTTAGGTTAACATCTTTTCCTGCCGGGACAATTACAGAGAGAGAATAAAAAAACACAGATATGGTTAGTTGGTTTTAAGTTGCAGACATTCTAAGCTTCTCATCCTTGTGCCCTCTTCATTACTACTATGCAAAACTGTTCCTACATGACTAAAGTAATTTAGAAATCAGCTTCTCATAATGTTAGTGGCAAGTAAGGTAATGGACAGCTAATGGAGAAGAGTCATGTGTTTATGTGTTTAGTTGTAAGCACAGCAAAATCTATGTAAGCTTTCAAAGTATTGTTTATGCATCTTTGTTCTACAAACCCTTGTGGTATGAGACAAAAAATAGTCTATTAAGTTACGTGTAAGTCAAGTATAGAGCCATGCATCGTATTGATACCATGTCTTGGAGAACTGTGGGTGACAGATTTCTTTCGACTTTGTCTCTGCAACCAGTGAGAGTGTGACCAGGATTTGCAAGAACATGTAGAATATGTTATTCACTGTGTTTTCTCCCTTCTCCCTAGGGTGTGAATTCTGTCCTAACAAGGTATGTTAAACTGATAGGGAAGAAAGAATAGCCCTATTGTTTGGTGAGAATTATTTAGTATCCAACTAAAATAAATGTCTCATGGGTTTGGGGGAGTTTAGACACAATGTTATTTTGAACTTCTAGTGAGGAGGGGGGTGGTACAGAAAGGCAGGGTCTACCTGTTTTGTAATATTGAGAACAGATTTGATTGTCTTTTAGGGAGTGGGTGATGGGGAGTTGCAGAGTCAGGCTCAGCAGTGGGATGAGGCACAAGGAGCTAAGGTGCTTTCAGACTCCTTGTGGTTCCGTCATTCTGTCCATACTGTGTGTTTGTGTCTGGCTCTGGATCTGCATTAACAAGTACTTGATTCCTCAATTCATCGTAGGTAGGGCATGTCTTCTGTGTCTGCAGTGTTCACAGACTTGTATATTGGGGGAACTTCCTGTGTATTAGTGTTTTTCATGAGGATAGAAGAGATCCAGAGTTCCTTTGTGGTTATAATTAGATTATTCTGAAACAGACTTGAATGTGTGCACACAACTGCTCCACATGAACCACATGCTTCAGAAGACTGACAAGCTGTGCCCTCCTATGTAAAGGGTCATACCCAAGCTGTCAGCATCAGGCTCCTTCTGAACATATGGAGCTCATGTTATTAATTTGGTGTTTCTGTCTTCTTTGCCAAATTTTCTCATTGTAACAAAAGAACTTGAAGAATCAGAAGAATCAGATGCCGGCCAAGAGTGGCCATATTGACAACAGGGTTTGAACTCTTGGCTTTCTCCTGTGGCTTTTCCTCATTGTATACACAGGAGCATCTTCTGCGCTCCAGGCTTTAGACCATTTCCTTGAACACCATCTTTTTTCATTCCTTTCTTTCTTTTGGGTGTATGTGTGTGTGTTGCTTTGTTTTGTTTTTGACACAGGATTACTCATTGTAGGCGTGCTATTTTTTAACTCACTCTGTAGATCAGGCTGGCCTTGAATTTACAGATCCTCCTGACTCTGCCTCTTATGTGAAAGGATTAAAAGCATGTGACACCATGCCTGAGGCACACTTTATTTTAAAGTTCACTAATTCATCATGTCTCAATAGTTCTTGGGGTGGGGGAAAGCAGGAAGAGTGGGCGAGCAAGCTGTTTGACTGTACAAGTGAGGAGCTCTGCTTGTGAGGAGTAAGGCTTTCCTAACGTCACACAGCAAGTAAGTGGGAGGGCTCATGAGGGTGTCTCTCATGTCTCCAGAGTTAGTAGTCAACCATCTCTCCCCTTCTCAGAATTCTCAGAAGAGCTCCAGGACATCTATGGTTAGAATGATAGGGGGTCAGTGGTGGTCAAAGTCACACTGTCTGAGGTGTGGAGGTCAATGTTTTGTCCCTAGGAGTCAGACCTTAAGACTGAAACGGCCTGATATGGTCCCGAGAAAACAGAGAATGATCTTCCGAGCTCCAGATCTGAAAGGCATGCTGCAAGTGTTTCAAGGTGAGAGCAGCTACATTCTGTGGGTAACTGTTAGATTCTAGGTGTGCTGGGGCTACAATGTCTGGGAAGTGTGTGAAGTTTCTGAACATGAGTAGAGAGTCTCAAAAGAGCAGACAGTGAAGTCATCATATTTAATGGGAAATTGTCATTCATCCTTTGCTATATCATAATTTCCAAACCTACCCCTAATCTGGAGAGGAGATTGACTTTAATGTTTTGATTCCTTTGCCTCCATTTCATGCTGTGAATTTTCATCCTTTCAGGGCTCATGGAGGCTCAAAAATACTGGGGTAAGGAGAAATCACACCATCAGCCACTCTCTTTTAATTGTGTTTCAGAGTTTATTTCTCAACTAACCCTCATGTGTCATGTTACTTCTTCCAATCTGCCTCTTTTCAACTATAAACAAGGCTCCTCCAAGTTCCCTCTCACTGTCTCCTTAGGCTTCTGCTCCTTACATCACAAAAAAGGCTATACATTGCCTCTCATGTGACTCTTATCTGTCTCCTTTTTCTGCAGTTCATGTGACCCTGTATCAAGGCCACAATAAAAATGTTGTCATTAATGAGGACAGAAGAGAAATACAACATGGAAATGGTTTTAGAAGAAATTTGCAAATTTCTGAGACCTATGATTTGGGTGTCCTGGGATACCCAGCTTTCCACTCAGGGAAACATTACTGGGAAGTGGATGTGTCTAGAAATGATGCCTGGCTCCTGGGATTAAATGATGGAGAATGTGCTCAACCCCAACTTCCTGCACCGAATGAGAAGGGCATCAAGGTCCAATACAATCCTGGTGTTAAACAGCATGTAAATTATCAGCCTAAATATGGCTACTGGGTTATAGGGATGAGGAACGGGTCTGTATATAATGCCTTTGCAGAGTGTTCTGTCACCCGCAATGCCAGTGTCTTGGTCCTCTCTCTGACTGGCCGTCCCCGTCGTGTTGGAGTTTTCCTGGACAGAGAAGCTTGTACTCTCTCATTTTATGATGTTTCCAACCATGGAGTTCTCATCTATAGATTCTATGAACCTTCCTTCCCTGATGAAGTTTATCCATATTTTAATCCTATGTCATGGTCAGAGCCAATGACAGTATGTGGGCCACCCTCCTAAACCTCACCCATAACTGCACAGTGCCCCATGTCTGATGTATCTCATATGCCTGAGCTCCCTGGCATCATCATAACTGTTTCTGCCTTTGCTCTTTCCCTTTTAATAAACTTCAGGTCTCAATACAAACCAGCATGGATTCTTTTCCTTGATCCAGTTGCTTGTCTGGTTACAAGGCAATAATTCATCATTTCCCATATTCCCAAAGAAAGTGACTCTTTCCTCATTAGGTGAGGTGAAGCCTCTGCTAACCCCACTTCCTGTTTTGTGGTGCCACAGAGGGAAGGCAGGGCCTTGTGCATGCTGAGGAGGTGCTCTACCACTGAGCCACTCGTCCCAGCTCTGCCATGTCTGCACAAGCCCACTCCTTCTGCCCCTGACAACGGATGAAAGAAAGTTCTTCTCCAGCTTGTCTACTAGTTTTGAAAATTATATGTAGGCATCTCTAGCCTAGGAATGATCCCTTAGATCAGTTTAACCACAATGCTTTGCTCCATCAACACTTAAGGAAACATCTCCAATGTAACCACTAAGACTGTTGAGTTCAGAGTACCTGGGTTCTATTGCTGCCACTCCACACAGCACTATAACCCCAAATAACATCCTCAAAGGCATATCCTTATTATAATTTATGTTTACACTTTTGATATAAATAGTACACCTACCCTCTAGGTTAGTGTAAGAGAATAAGCGTGGGGTTTGTTAGAAGATTCTGAGAGGAAAAACAAGTCTGATGACAATTCAATCACTCATACCCACCTTGGAGAAGGAGGCAGCCAATCCTCCAGATTGTCCTCTACCTCCACACACATGCTGCAGTACACACAAATGCAACACATAGTGATGTAAGTTTTAAATAGAGAATTCACTAAGAATAAAGCATCCACTTCACACTCAGTAAATGGTTATGTTAATATGGTGGGAAGAAATGTTCTACTGGGTTTCCATGTTACAGTGGCCCACTGGGCAGGGCTCAGGGGATGACTAATGTTTGACTTTCCTGATGTCTTGTAGTTAGGTCCTGGGAACTGCCATCAAATCTACTGTAAATTGTTGTACATACCTATAAACATTTTTTGATTTTTGTGGAATTCCAAATCCAACAAGTCTGTGGAGTGCGCCTGTACCCCAAAATCTCAGATATACAGTAGGAGTCCAGCCTTCATTCCTGACTCCAGTTGAAAAACCTGGATCCCCTGCATAGAGACATGAGGTCACATTTTTAAAGCCAGCAGTTCTTCCTCCCTGACAGAAAGCTTGTGCCAACATGTTATTTTCCTGCCTGCCTGCCAGCTGATAGACTAAGGGACCTGCCACCCCTGCTGTTGCCACATTCCTGTTCCCTCCCAGCACTTCCCCTGAATGGGGACTCTTTGGTATTTGAACCCCTGCTTGCCCTCAATCCAACTGGTGAATGCAAAGTGAACAATTCCACCCCTGTATGCAAATTAGGTGTATTTTGCTTATTCTTTGGCTTTAAGCTACATGTTAACTAGGCTGTTACCCCAATAAACAGTCTGCCCTGGTTACAGACTTCCTAGCTGTTCTTTGCTCATACAAATTTGCAGCCATCCTACACCCTAACCTCTGTTCTTCCCTGGGTCCTAAGACCACTCGTGCACCCTGGAATCTTAGGGCCAGGGGACAGTTAACAAGTTTTCCAATTTGTTTTTGAGAGGGTAAGTGTTGTGGTACTATTTAGTTCTTATCAAGAATGTTAAATGCTATGGTTTTCCCTCTTACACTGAATGATAGTGATGACAATGATACCAGTAAACTTACCTTGTGCTGTATGGTGAAATGTACACAACAGAGCGTTTCCAGGAACTTATGGCATGTAAGTGGCATCCACCATGGTGTCTGTTTGTTCTCCTTGCTGTGCTTCACACACATTTTTGGCACTGCTTAACCACAGTGTGACCAGAGCTGTGTTCTCTTGGTCTTTTTATTCTTTTCACTGAGGTTGGAGGTATAGCAGACCTGAGTACAAAGTCAAATCACTGCACATGGATGGAATGGAATGATGTCTGCAGAGAAAGTTCACGAAGAGCTAGATGGCTGTCCGAGCATTTTATGGTTTTAATTCTCAAGAAAGCCTTAGGAATAAATAGTAGAGGCATTGGTTAAAATCTGTAAAAGGCCGGGCAGTGGTGGTGCACGCCTTTAAAACCAGGACTCAGGAGGCAGAGCCAGGCGTATCTCTGAGTTCGAGGACAGCCTGGTCTACAGAGCGAGATCCAGGACAGGCACCAAAAACTACACAGAGAAACCCTGTCTCAAAACCCACCCCCACCCCCCCCCACCCCCCAAAAAATCTGTAAAAGACCAAGACATGGTGGCTCCTTCCTCTAACACCTGTACTGGGTAGTTTGAAGGAGGAGTACTGCCGGGAGTTGGAGACCACCCTGAACACTAGTGAGTTCCATTCAGTCTGGGGTGCCCAGTAAACCTGCCTGGAAAACAAAACCACACAAAAGCTGTAAGAAATTTACATAATTATTAGCAATTCAGAAGAATCAGAACATCATAACATTGATGGACAGCCATTGTGTCCACAGCAAGAACAACAGCAATTCAGGCTCTTGACCTCATCAAGATGTGAAGGTTGGGTTAGGGGTTTAGCTGAGGGATGGAGCTCTAGCCCAGCATTCACAAGGTCCTGGGTTCAATCCCTGAAGTACAAAGAGCCAAGTAAAACAACAACAGCAAAAGCCCATTATCTCAAGCTGGGCGGTGGTGGCACATGCCTCTAATCCCAGCACTCAGGAGGCAGAGGCCGGTGGATCTCTATGAGTTCGAGGCCAGCCTGGTCTATAGAGCTAGTCCAGGACAGGCTCCAAAGCTACAGAGATACCCTGTCTCGGAAAAAAAAAAAAAAAAAAAAAAAAAAAAAAAGCCCATGGTCTCAGCAGTGGGGAGGCTGTGGGCGCTGGAGCTCAGATAGAGGTCAGGCTGGGGTGCACTGTGAGAGCCTGTCTAAAGAACAAGAATAGACAGAGGAGGAGAGGACAAGTACGAATAAAGAAAACCCCAACTCCAGTGTGCTTCTTCTGTCACTCCTTATGTCATATAGTTTAGTAGATCTGAGAACATAAGGACAAATGAGATAGGAGGACACAGTGCGGGTGAGACTGACAATGGGGGCCGCACATTCTTCCCCATTGTTTCCCTCACACAGCTTCCTTGTTTAGGAAGATTCTCATGTGTCTCAGGCTGTGTTGGCACACTGTCACCTATGGCTGAGGATGACCTTTGACATCCTGACCCTCCTGCTGCCAGCTCCAAGGCAATGTGTCCTGTGGTGGTTTGAATGGGAATGGCCTCCATAGGCTCAGATCTTTGAATGCTTGGTTCCCAGTTGTTGGGACTCTTTGGGAAGGATTAGGAGGTGTGGCATTATTGGAGTATATGTGGCCTGAGTGTGAACTTTGAGATTTCAATACACTCTGGGCATTCCCAGTGTCTCTATCTTTGCCTCAGGTTTGTGTCTCAAGTGTGACCTGTCACCTCCTGCACCAGCACCATGCCTCTCTGCCTGCTCCCATACTACCCACTGTGGTGGTCATGACCTCTGACCCTTTGAAACTGTAAGCCCCAAATCAAACACTGTCCTTCTGTGGTGCCTCAGTCATGGTGTTTTTCATAGCAATCGAAGAGTAACAAAGAGACTACATGCATGTGTCTCCATACCTGGGTTTGTTCAGAGCTGAGGATCCACCCCAGGGCTCCATGCTTGCTGGGCAGGCTCCATTTCAACTCAACTTCATTCAGAGCTCTACTCATTTTCAGCTTCTAATGCAAAGATGCTGAGGGAATATCAGAGGTCTTTTACTGGGAACCAGCTTCAGCAGTTTCGGGGGTCCGAAGGATGGGATACCTGGAAGGCATAGTAACAACTCAGAAACAGTGCACATGCAAGCTGACAGGTCACTTCGGGCTTCTGAAGTTGCTAAGTAGCTTCTGCTATGGTAACCTCAGTCTTTTATTATCATGAGCAAGGGGAAACAGAAAGGAAAGGGGAAATCACCCAATACAGAGTGTTCTCATAATTCCAAAGGTTATTCTTCAAAAATCACCAATATGTTCTTCATCATCTTTAATTAAACACAAAAACTATCCCAGGCTTAATGCCAGAGCAAGCACAATCTATTTTTATTCTTTTTTTATTATACAATCTTCTGAGCATTTGACCCAGAGGCTAGAAACATGAGATTTTGCAAAAAAAAAAAAAAAAAAAGGTAAAAATAAGAACAGTGGTTAATGTACCAGATAGTCATTTCCTTCTCACACAGCCTGCACTGACCTCAAGACCTCTGCAGCTGCCTAAGTTCCTCCTCAGCCCTCTGCAAACACCAAGCCCCATGACTGGTGGGCCACAATGACTTCAGACAAGAGATTTGCCCCTGCAGGTCAGCGACTTCTGTCCTTCTTATCCCAACAGTTCCAGGGAAGACCTGATCCAATTTTCAGAGCTTTCCTGAAGGAAAGGAAGCTCACCTTTCCTGGCAGCTCTTTTCAATCTAGGAACCAATAAAACTTGCAGCAATCACTCCAACCACTGCCACATTGTCTCCACACTCCTTCAGGAGGAATCAAAATATCTGGATTAAAGTTGCCATCTCCTATTCTAGATTCCCACACTTCTAGTCTGTCATCCCATCTATATGTTACTTCACTAACAGTCTTCAACCAATACCCCTTAGGGTCTCAAGTTTTACACAATGCCCTTGGAGTATCCTCAGAGACTGAGTTATATTCATCACGGCCAAATTGAGTCCAGTGCGCTAATACATCATACCATGTGCTATAGTTGCCCACCTTCAGTACAATTTATCCAAGCCTGTAAAGCTTCCCCAGGATGCAGGTTCTTTCCCATGACCTGCCTCACTGCCTTGACCCCAGCCTGGGTGCTCATCTCTGTATAATTTCCCGTGACATTTGTTTCATTCCCACCCCGCTTCACAGACAGTACCACTGGTCTAGGAACACAGAACATGAAGATCAGATAGAAGAAAAAAGTAATTATATGGAGGAGAACCTGGCATAAGTACACCATAAAGCATGACCTCGGTACATGTAGGCATTTCTCCCTTGGCTCTCTAGAGGCATGCAAAGCAGAAGATCCTGAA